AGTATCACCTTGAGGGGACCGTTAATTGGACCAGAGAGTGTCCGTCATTCGTACGTTAGATAGTTTAACCTAGAGATTCGCACACATCTTGTAAAATCCCCATGTTTGTCATCGTACTCGTTTTCGTTCCGAATCTCTCGTACCTCGCTACTCACCATTTGCAGACCTATCTCTCCAGAATTGTTACCTTAAGTTGTTTCGTTATCTAAAGTAGCATGCAGTGAAGCAACCGAATTCATTGGCACACGACACTCACTTCCAACAAGCAGTGTAGTATCTGTTATAAATGTACAGGGTAAGGCAGGCGCTAAAAGGGCCATGCCGGCTTGTACCATTCGGCAAAATGGCTGGCCATTCGGTGCAGTACAGTAGGCAGTTCAGTGATCGCACAAGTTTTGTGCTGGCAATGATGGTAGGTGAATCATCGAGTAGGAAAAAAGTAAAGCATTCGGATGAAGAAGACCCTGAGGACGACGAAAGAGAGATCCCTTTGCCTGAATTCGATGTCTCTCAGACAGTGCTAGCCCGTGACAAAGATGGCCTACTGTACGAGGCAATCATTCGAAGATCCATTTGGGGAATCCAACAACATTCCCAGATTACTGTCGGAATGGTGAACTCTCAGGAAGAAATAGAGCAAATTCTTGATCAAGATAAGATACCAACATGGCACTATTTCGTACACTATAGCAAGTGGAAGGTGAGGACAAGTTCGCAGCCTATTCATGATGTACTTCAATCATAGCTCTAAAAGAGCCGGTTTTTTTTTTCAGAGCAATTGGGACAGATGGGTTGGCCAGGAAGATTTACTACCACTAACACCTGAGAATCAAGACGTCGCTGAAGAGATCCGACGTGCCCACAAATTCTTGCTCTCAGATATGAAAACAAATAAGGGCAAGAAAGTGGATGGAGGGGCGTTTCTGAAAGTCTGGAAAGTAAAACTGAAGAGTCTGACCGGGGATCAAAGTAGAGGTGTAATTAAGAAACCAAAAGTCACTCGAAAGACATGGCAACGAGATGTGAGCTTACGAAAGCGAAACCTCTCCTCAGCAAATTCAAATCCTTCGCATCAGGTTGTCCTTCCATTTGGACTTAAAAAAATATTGGTAGAAGATTGGGAAATCGTTAATCACTTCAAAATGGTGCATCGCTTGCCTGCAAGTGTTACGATCAGTCATGCTCTAGATCTCTATACGAAGTCGAAGGGGGTCGAAGAAGGTTCTGGATGGTTTGGACAAGTACAGAATTGTGAGACACCGGAGACCTATCAGTGTGCCACTCCAGGTAACCACCGTAGTCTGTTGAACGAGTGGGCTGATATGGCTGACGGTGTCGCTCTCCTTTTCGAACAAGCACTGCCATTTCGACTTCTCTATCCCCCAGAACAAGCTCAGGTCTCAGTAATGGACAGCCTTCAAATGTACAAGGATAAGCCCAAAATTGAACTATATGGGTGTGAATTTCTTCTAAGACTATTCTGCCAGCTACCAGCAATAATCGGGGACAATTGTGATGAAGAGGATGATATCGGCAAGGTTGTCACAGCAAAACTGAACGATTTCGTACGATTTTTAAACAAAAATCAATCAACTTTGTTTGCCCAGTCATATCGAAGGCATAATGATCTGGAATTGGTGTACGAAATAAAATAAAAAAAAGGGAAACATTAAAAAGGAAACTTCATCACCCTTACTAGTGATAGCTGGCCTGGAGATATGCACTATTCTAAACTTCCCTTCGAATGCTACGCCCTGTCAATCCGATTCCGACAAGATCCACACAAAGACTTGTACAGTTTTTTCATTTGATGGTGGGTTTTCTGTTGGAAAAGCTGAAAATCCTCCATCGATTGACGTCTCGCAGAAGCTACAGCTGCGTCGAGTTCTAGGGCATGAAACTCCCGTTCCATAGCCAAAATCTCATTTGTAACTCTGGCAAGTTCCGATCGATCATGTTCAAGGAAATGGCATTGCATGCGAAGCTCATCCATTTCAAGGTTCTCATTGCTGATTCTGACACCGCCTTCGCCTTCGATTTCACGAGCAAGCGCTTCCATTCTCCCTGTTGTTTGGAGATATTTTTCTCCTGAGCTTTGACTCGACTCCGTCTCTATTCCATCCTCTAACAATACCTTCTCTTTGACCAATTCCAACTGCTGTGCAATTCCATTTCTCGAGTCATGGCCTGGCAATGCTTCAGTCCCTCCAGCTTGCAACATTTCTACTGATGCGTGTGCAGCTGAATCAGGAGATCCAAATGCTTCAGTTCTGTTTGTACTCCCTTTTCTTGCAATATTGGATGATCGCGAGTCATTCAAAACCGACTCAACAATGACGTCGCTGGAACCGCCATCAACGAGATCTCCTATGTGTGGGCTATCAATTGTCACCTCCTCACCGATACTACCCTGCACAAAACTGTATAATTTACCCAATCCTCCGGCAAATTCATGCATTTGTGATAGTCCTGTTTCAAGTTTCGCTTTCTCTTCTTCCAGACTTTGCTTGAGGATGGCTAGCTTACTGGTTTCCTTGGCTAGACGAATGGAAGTGCTCTCGGACTCTTGCAGGTGTTCTGACAACCCTGTTTGAGCTGTCCTTGCAGTGTCACGTTCTTCTTCCAAAAGAGCAATCTGCGCTCGACTTTCTCTCACTTCGTTTCGGTGTTGCATATCTGATTCCTGCATTTGTGATAGTTCTGTTTCAAGTTTCGCTTTCTCTTCTTCCAGACTTTGCTTGAGGGTGGCTAGCTTACTGGTTTCCTTGGCTAGACGAATGGAAGTGCTCTCAGACTCCTGCAGGCGTCGTGACAACCCTGTTTGAGCTGTCCTTGCAGCGTCACGTTCTTCTTCCAAAAGAGCAATCTGCGCTCGACTTTCTCTCACTTCGTTTCGGTGTTGCATATCTGATTCCTGCATTTGTGATAGTTCTGTTTCAAGTTTCGCTTTCTCTTCTTCAAGACTTTGCTTGAGGGTGGCTAGATTACTGGTTTCCTTGGCTAGACGAATGGAAGTGCTCTCGGACTCTTGCAGGTGTTCTGACAACCCTGTTTGAGCTGTCCTTGCAGCGTCACGTTCTTCTTCCAAAAGAGCAATCTGCGCTCGACTTTCTCTCGCTTCGTTTCGGTGTTGCATGTCTGATTCCTGCATTTGTGATAGTTCTGTTTCAAGTTTTGCTTTCTCTTCTTCAAGACTTTGCTTGAGGGTGGCTAGCTTACTGGTTTCCTCGGCTAGACGAATGGAAGTGCTCTCAGACTCCTGCAGGCGTCGTGACAACCCTGTTTGAGCTGCCCTCGCAGCATCATGTTCTTCTTCCAAAAGAGCAATCTGCGCTCGACTTTCTCTCACTTCGTTTCGGTGTTGCATGTCTGATTCCTGCATTTGTGATAGTTCTGTTTCAAGTTTTGCTTTCTCTTCTTCCAGACTTTGCTTGAGGGTGGCTAGCTTACTGGTTTCCTTGGCTAGACGAATGGAAGTGCTCTCGGACTCTCGCAGGCGTCTTGAAAACCCTGTTTGAGCTGTCCTTGCAGCGTCACGTTCTTCTTCCAAAAGAGCAATCTGCGCTCGACTTTCTCTCACTTCGTTTCGGTGTTGCATGTCTGATTCCTGCATTTGTGATAGTTCTGTTTCAAGTTTCGCTTTCTCTTCTTCCAGACTTTGCTTGAGGGTGGCTAGCTTACTGGTTTCCTTGGCTAGACGAATGGAAGTGCTCTCAGACTCCTGCAGGCGTCGTGACAACCCTGTTTGAGCTGTCCTTGCAGCGTCACGTTCTTCTTCCAAAAGAGCAATCTGCGCTCGACTTTCTCTCACTTCGTTTCGGTGTTGCATATCTGATTCCTGCATTTGTGATAGTTCTGTTTCAAGTTTCGCTTTCTCTTCTTCAAGACTTTGCTTGAGGGTGGCTAGATTACTGGTTTCCTTGGCTAGACGAATGGAAGTGCTCTCGGACTCTTGCAGGTGTTCTGACAACCCTGTTTGAGCTGTCCTTGCAGCGTCACGTTCTTCTTCCAAAAGAGCAATCTGCGCTCGACTTTCTCTCGCTTCGTTTCGGTGTTGCATGTCTGATTCCTGCATTTGTGATAGTTCTGTTTCAAGTTTTGCTTTCTCTTCTTCAAGACTTTGCTTGAGGGTGGCTAGCTTACTGGTTTCCTCGGCTAGACGAATGGAAGTGCTCTCAGACTCCTGCAGGCGTCGTGACAACCCTGTTTGAGCTGCCCTCGCAGCATCATGTTCTTCTTCCAAAAGAGCAATCTGCGCTCGACTTTCTCTCACTTCGTTTCGGTGTTGCATGTCTGATTCCTGCATTTGTGATAGTTCTGTTTCAAGTTTTGCTTTCTCTTCTTCCAGACTTTGCTTGAGGGTGGCTAGCTTACTGGTTTCCTTGGCTAGACGAATGGAAGTGCTCTCGGACTCTCGCAGGCGTCTTGAAAACCCTGTTTGAGCTGTCCTTGCAGCGTCACGTTCTTCTTCCAAAAGAGCAATCTGCGCTCGACTTTCTCTCACTTCGTTTCGGTGTTGCATGTCTGATTCCTGCATTTGTGATAGTTCTGTTTCAAGTTTCGCTTTCTCTTCTTCCAGACTTTGCTTGAGGGTGGCTAGCTTACTGGTTTCCTTGGCTAGACGAATGGAAGTGCTCTCAGACTCCTGCAGGCGTCGTGACAACCCTGTTTGAGCTGTCCTTGCAGCGTCACGTTCTTCTTCCAAAAGAGCAATCTGCGCTCGACTTTCTCTCACTTCGTTTCGGTGTTGCATGTCTGATTCCTGCATTTGTAATAGTTCCGTTTCTATCACCTGTTTCTGCTCTTCTAAACGCTTCAACGTCTGACCAAGATCTTTTGTTGCTTGGCCATGCACTTTTTGTAAATAATCCATTTCTGCTAGTAGGGCAGAGTAATTTTCTTGGGTTTCGTTTACCTGATTCTGTAGAGCCCTTTTCTCCTCCTCTAGCTCTCTGAGATCGAGACTTGAAGATGCGGTGGTCGATCTGTCGCGAGATTGCCCTGTTCTACCTATCTTTTTTGAAATCTCTCCCTCGAAAGACTCGTTTGTATCCGATTCGATATGATTGCTGGCAAGTAGCGATTCGCGTTCCTGTCGTCTCGTCTTTTCTTTGAGGAATGCTATTTCAATATCCCAGTGATCTTTTTGTTGTTTGTGAAGTTCTTTCAGTTTCTGTAGCTCGTGTTTCATTTTTATTCTTTCCTCAGCGTCTTTTTCGGCTTTCAGAATTTCTCGGTTTTTGCATGTTGTAAAATCCTCTGAATGGGTTCGTCGCAATCGTGATAGCTGTTGCTGGAGCTCCAGATTTTGCTGCGAGTAATGTTGACATAACATGTCGATCGCTTGGATTTTTCGCTCGGAAGATTCAGCGATTTCATTATTTTGTTGTCGCATTCTTTCTCGGAGTTCTTTAACCATCAGATCATTCACAGCATGAAGATCAGACTGCATCTTTCTTTCCCTGTTCAACATTCGCATCACCTTCTGCAATTGACGCCTGCAGTTAATCTTTTCGTCATTGAGTTGTTGCGATGCATTCAGCATTCTCAATAGCTGCAGTACAACGATTCGCTGTTGCTCTGACTGTAGGACGGCATTGCTTGGATATTTTCGTTGCACATCTGAAGGATGCGATGGTGCTATTGGCTCGATCTCAAGCATCTTTTTTTCTTGATCATGCTTTTGGTTCAAAAAAACATATCAATTGCGAGGTCGCCAATCGACTGTTTTTTTTTCAACGGCCAACACCTGCAAGCCGAACTTGCGATTATTTTAATTTTCATTTGGTTACCCTAATTATGAAATTACCTAATAACGCCAGGTACAACGATCAGCGTTCGTACATTGAAGCCACTTCTCCCTCTGTTCATGTACAGCATCCCTCCAATGAATAATTATGATACAGTAAGTATATTAGCAACGCAAAGGACCCCGAAAAAAACTATTCCCTTGAAAGTTTCGTTGCGGTTACGCTTCCAGCTAGCTACTGGCACTTTGAATCAAAGCTGCTATGATTCCTTTGCTGCCGCCTCCAAGCCACTCTCGCGAGAATAATAAAAGTTCGGGAGCAACGACGAGGCTCCTAGTGCTGTAATGTCTGCACGCAATGCCGTCTCCGGCACGACGCTTATTTGTAATCCTGGACCAAATATCGAATCCACTCCCTCCCTAAACGATCTCTCGAAGAAAAGGTGTTTAGATCCACCGCCCACAAGAAGCACATGCTTGACTTCGCTAGGCGTCTTTTCGGAGTCTTCAAGTACTTTAGTTATGGCCGAAGCAAATAGCAAACTTGCGCTTTTGGGTGATGGAAGTGCAGTCGAGAACACGCCATCCTCGATGAGGTTTGGAACAGTTTCTTTCGTAAGGTGATTTTCGACAGTCTGATCCACAAGGGATCGCGAGAGACTCATATCAAAGTGAGGGTCATCATTTTTTCGCCCCATGAAAAGGAATGGAATGTGTACTCGTACATTCGTTTTGTTGACCAATTCTACCACCGCGCTTCTTGCACTAGAATCCATCAAAGCGAGACACACAGCATCATTATTAAGCGTCTCATCGCCAGTTTCATTTTTGACCAGGTCGACAATTGTTTTCACGTAAGACTCCCCACCAACATCCTTAAGATAACACGATGCTTCCACAACGTCCCCACTAACAAGAGATACAGAAGACGACAAACCGCCGATGTCGACGACTAATGACGGCGCTGCTCTCTCTTCTTTAGTGGCTGGATCAGGAAGCAATCCCATGATACGAGCTCCCCAGATAGACGCCACTGGATCTGGGACAATTGTAGAACGCTCATAATATTCTCGCATGCTTTGAAGGAGTACGTCCTCCTTTTGGTTAAAAATAGCTGGCGGTAAGGTCAGAACAACGCGCATGTTAGGTTTTACCAAGCGCTCCATAGCCTCTCCAACTGCCGGGGCTACAACATGCTTGACCAAGGAGGAAAATCCATCCGCAATAGGTAACACAACCCTTTCTCCTCCTTTTAGCTCTTCAATATCCTCAAAGTAGAACTTTTCCATAGCACGAGCACCTGATATACAATCCTCTATTTGTTCCCCTTTTATTATGCCCGCGAATCGATATCGATCTCCCTGAGACGTTATAATCAATTCGGGTTTGCCACCGTCTATCGTGGAAAGCTTTAAATACACAGATCCTGGGTCTACTCCTAATGTGGTCATGTCTGAAACCTTGCTAGAATCCCGCATTCTTTCGCGCTCATACTGTTGCAATTGCCATTGATATTCTTCCCATTCCTCATCCATCCGATTAAGCGCCTTCCAAGACCACCTCCCTATCAATAACAAAGAACCAGCAGCAATCAGGGGAAGAACGTCTCGCTTTGCAGAAGCATGATACATCCTTGAGTTGATGCAAGACAGGTCATCGATGATTATTGTATCCTTTCCCTTTCCTTGCAAAGGGCTACTTCTCGAGTCCCAAAGGGGACGTCCGAGAAACGCTCTTGATTTTCGGACACAGTTTTGTCCCGCTTGACGTGCCAACATACTTGTGAGAACTTGATGTTTGCAGTATTTAATTTCACTCATTCATTCATTCTCATTCACTCTCATTCATTTCTCCAGGAACACGCGAGGAGTTAGTGTTTTTCGCGTTTTTTGCGTGCGTTGAAACTTTGGAAAAACAATTGATGTCGGTGTGACATGCAGACACCAACTTTTCTCCGATAAAATACCCGATCACTTCGGAGACGCGAAAAATGCTGATTTCATTTCAAAGACGCACATCCGGGTTCAAGCACGCAAATCGGGATTTCAAAGACGCACATCCGGGTTCAAGCACGCACATCCGGGTTCAAGCACGCACATCCGGGTTCAAGCACGCACATCCGGGTTCATTCAACATTCAAAGACGCATATCCGGGTTCAAGGACGCATCAAAAACTCAGCATCCCCCTCAAGGGGTACTTCCAGGACTCGACACATCATTCTGCATCGCTGAAATCGGTGGTCACTCCAGTCAAAATCAACGATTGGACACGACTGGACGCATTGGATGCAATTCTCCAATCGATCACAAAACTTCAGAAGACGAAGAGAAAAAAGCATCATGACAAAAGGACGAGAGCTCCCAACTGATCTAACTTCCGAGATCCAGCGCATGATGGTCAAGGACATGCATGACTTTAGGATTACAAAAGTGAATTGTTATGATCCTGTCACCTATGAGTCAAGGGACTTCTGGGAATCGCGCAAGGAGTATAAGGCATTCAGCTTCCCTGTATTCTTGGCAAACGTTGAAAACGTGGCAAGAAATGTCAGGTCTCATCTGAGGAAATCCGAGGAAGCCAGCGCAAAGAGAGCTGCAAAGGAATCGAAAAAGAAAAGGAAAGAAGAAGAAAAGAAAACAAAAGAGAAGGGTGGGGCTGACGAGAAGGCCACAGATACGCTGGAAGAGATGATGCAAGGTCTTGTCTTTGAGCAACCCACACAAAAACTTACTGACACGTTCGTTGAGGCATACCCATGTGGCGATCGTGTGCTAGTTGTGGTTGAGTTATTCGGAGACGTGAAGGCAGAGGAAGCAAACGCCTTTGATTTTTCTCCGGCAGGAGACAAGATTGTTCATTGGACCCGCACTCCTTCTGTGTGGACAGACGAACAAAAGCTTATTGGGGCTTTGGGCTCGACAATTGCCGATGCGGATACAATAATCCTTGGGAACGCAATAAAGAAACGGTTGAAGGACTCGCCCAAACCGAGCAAAGATGGCTTTTTGTGGATCCCAATGGAGATCATCAATCTCCCATTCTGTTGCGAACCCATGCTTTTCGACAAAAGTGGTCAGTCAATCGACTCTTATCTTGCTCAAGGCAATGAAAAGGGATTTAGATGGGGTTATTTTTGGCTTGTTCGCGAGGGTTGTAATCCTGAGTCAGCAAAGAAGTTGGTCTTTACTTGTCATGATGAAGAAGAAGACGACAATGATGAGGCATCACATTGCCTGACTGGCAATTATGATGCCGATGACATTTCGGAGGCTACAGAAGCATGCGCTGAGGAAGAACAGATGGACAAGGATGGCGACGAAAGTGTCGACGAAAGTGTCATGATGGATTGTGAACAATCAACAAAAGGCAGCAATTCTCCAGCTGAAGAAGGTCGTAGTGACTTGAGTGTGATGAGAGGCATGTGGAGTAAAGAAATAGATCTCAGGGAGAAAGCAGAACAGAAGAGAAAGGCCGCATTGGATGCCCAGCATATGGCAGAAGATAGAGCCAAGACTGCCAACGAAAAGGCAAAAACTGCAAAAGAGGCGGCTCGAAAGACCAAAGAAGATGCTCAGAAGGCCGTCAAGGAGGCCGACGAAAGAGCTACGAGAGCCGCAGCAGCCGAAAAAGAACGTTTTCAGCAGGCGGCAGAAGAGGAAAAGCAACGAATCCAAAGCGAAGCTCGTCAGCGTTTTGAGAAGGAGGCAGCACTGGAAAAACAGCGAATCCATGAAGAAGCTCGTCAACACCTTGAGCAGGTCGCAGCAGAGGAAAAACAGCGACTCGAAGAAGATGCTCGGCGACGTTTTGAGAAGGCCGCAGCAGAAGAAAAACAACGGCTCCAAGAAGAAGCTCGACAACGTTTTGAGAAGGCCACAGCAGAAGAAAAACAACGACTCCATAAAGAAGCTCACTTGGAAAAGGAAGAGTTACGCACAGAAGCAGACCAAGCAAAAGAGAGAGAATCAGAACAAAGGGATGAATATCAATCAGCAATTGCGCCCCGCCGCAGCGGACAGAAAAGTCGCCTGTCAATTGATTCATATGTTTCTGTGGATGCAGAACGTCCAGCAAAGCGGATGAGAGTCGTAGATCCGAAAGCAACACGGAAATCAATGAGACGAATTTTGAAAGCCAAACGGTCGGCATCGAATGAAGTGGACCAATACATCGAAGCAAATCCTGCACAAGAACAGGAAGGCAACAATTAGTACTAGATTTACAGTTCTTTATATATTTGGATCAATTTGTTTACGATATATTTCTTCTTTCTCCTAGTATTGTACAGGTATGTATATGTAGTCCAAGCCAACAGTTCACGCAAGAGTATACTATCAAAGGGTTATTATTCGCTGTTTAGTCATAGGTGACTTCATATTTAACCGGGTACAATCTCGCTCCATTCTCAAAGGAAAGTTGCACAATGACGGCCACAGCACGAGCTATCTTTCCATGTTTCTCGGTATTTGTGCTTTCCCATCTTTCCATTACTTTGAAAATTTTCAAGCGCCTGTTGACATTTTCATGTCGTCCCCTAGCCACCGATTTTTGTTTCCTGGTGATGCTATCCTTTCCTACAGCATTAGTCTTGATCTGAATTCTACCGGAGTACCCATTATCTGCCTCGACGCATTCACCAGGCATGAGCATGAGGGAAAGATTAGCGTCAAAGATTTCCCTGTCACTCAAGTTTGCCGGAAAGGGACCGTTGATGGCCACAATGTCTCCTGTCTGAATGCATTGTGCAATTTCGTATCGCATTGCAGCACGATTGTGCTTATGACTCCACCATATCCTTGATCTTGGCGATGGCTCCCACATCCAAACATCTGTGCCATCGACTGTGACCAGTGCGATGCACTTCCCATCCCAGTCATTGAAACGATTCGCCCAAACTATAACGACTTCTTCCAGATCAGCGATCCCATCTGTGAACTTTGAGACCCAATCGCGAAACGTGTCACATGACTTGCAATTAGCGATCTTAATCATCATTTCTTCGCTAATATTTACCTTATAGTATATCAGCGTCCACAGCAAATGCTTTGGCTGTGCTCGACGCGATATCTTTTTCTTTGGCTCGAGCTTGGACCACAATTCGGAGCAAACCTCGAAGCTTGTACCAAATGCAGCCCGGAACACTCGTTTCTCTCTTTCTCGAGAATATTGTTTGCTCCCGATTGGCAACTCGAGCATCTCGCGAGCTACCTTTTCAAATGCTAGTCTGGATACCAGCATCTTCTCGTTTTTGTGGCGATTACGAGATGCTTGAATAATAATATTTGGCGATAATCTCCAAAAGCCGTTATAAAAATGTGCTTCAAGTATTAAAATATTATTATATTTTATTAATATTACGGTATAATTTTTTTTGTATCTTTGGGGTGCGTGTACCTATTACATCACAGTTGCATCAATTCTTATGTTTCATAGACGGAGAAGAGTTCAGTTGCTGTATGTGTAATTTTCAACTATTGACTTCTATATCTTCATGCTCATTTCTGAATGTTTTCATTAGTTCTTCTTGCTTCGCATGGTGTGCTTTGTGGTCGCTGTCTTCTTCTTGGTGGTCTTCTTTTCAACTTGCACATGTTTCATAGGAACATCGTTCGAGCGTACTGTTTGATACGAATAAAGGGATTCGTCATCTGCAGTAGGAGAGAAAACTCGAGTTCCTCCAAACCTTCTACTTTCACTGGCGCCTGCAGCCTTCGCAGCATGCTTTCCCACAAGCCAAAAGGAAGCCCAGCGAAATCCGTTCGTGTTCTTTCTTACCTTGAAAGTCTTCATTGGCTTACCCTCTTTGCTAACCATGGTTGGCATGCAGGCAAAAGGGAGATCAATCACATCCCTGTGTTCCCAAATCTGACCATCCTTGTCCCGTTTGCAATTTTCCATCCTTTTTTTAATTGCAGATTCCAGAACGATGACATCAATGTCACTGGAACCAAACCCAGCCATCACTCCCTCTCGATCATCCTCATCGGCCCCCTTGAGCAATATGTTGGCGCTGCTGCATTCCTTTGGAACTCGTCTCATGCGAGTAACGGTTTTCCCGTCATTTGAAAGCTTGAACTGGTTGGATGTCCTATCTTCAACGTCTCCGTCTAGACAGCAGACAACCCCCAATTTGTTTCCGGTTGGATACTGCAAGAGATAATGTTGTCTCATTTGCCCGACTTCAAATCCAAGAATACGACCATCGACATCCTCTTTAGCAGCTTGACAAGTAAGATCAATCGGTTTGCTACTACTTGTCTTGCGGGAGGTACTTGCAGCATTGGCGGAGGACGAACGAGCCGCTTTGTTTTCCCCTTCATCATCATCATCATCATCATCATCACTATCTTCTTGTGCTCCTTCGTCCTCAATGAAACTACTTGGCAATAAGCCAACTGCATCGGCTGCAACTTTTTTTGCCAGGCTTCGGAAAGCATGTCTTGAGGCCATTTTTTTCTCATACATTGTTTTTGACTTCATATGCTCCACGCCCCCAATGTTTGGTCCGAAAGGTTTCCAACCCGTTTGCTTGAAGTTCATGAAGTCATGTAGGAGTTCTTTGTAGACTTCAGACGACTTTCCGTGTTTCTCAGGCATGATTGGAATTTTTTACTCCAAAGATCATAGGTACACTCGTCGAGAAAATATCGCTAAGAAATCATTTTGCCAGACTTGAAAACCGAAAAGTGTCACAAACGGATTTCAGCGATTTTTGTGGCAAGGCTTGCGGGTTGGATGTTCAATCTCTTCACCTCGCTGCACCCACTTTCAGTTCAAGGACGCACATCCGGGTTCAAGGACGCACATCCGGGTTCAAGGACGCACATCCGGGTTCAAGGACGCACATCCGGGTTCAAGGACGCAAATCAAAGACGCAACACATTTTGCGTTGTCAAATCAAGGACGCACATCCGGGTTTTTGCTCCTCTCCAATATTCGGCCTCTATTTAATTTAGAACGACCATAAAAACTATTTCTGTATAGTTCAATTTCTTCTAAATATTCAACGCGCGCAAAACACGCCAAAAACACCAACTCCTCGCGTGTTCCAGGGACACGCCTCGGATTGTAGTGAAACCAAAGTGTGACGGGAGACAGACAGACGTTTCCTCCCCCCTCGTACATAGAATTATTTAGGGGGCAAAACATTGTTTTATTTCTCCGAAACAGTGGAGTTATAATTAACGACAAGCCTTTTGTCGTAAATTTTGTCGTAAATTTTGTCGTAAACTATTTACAACAACTTATGACAAATTACGACAAACCTACAACAAATTACGACAACCCTACAACAAAATTTACGACAAAATCTACGACAAAATCTACCTTTGCGCACACGCCGACTGTTGGGATATGACGAAATATGAGTTTTTACGTTCCAAAAGAAACTATTCAAGTGCGAGGTTTTCGACACGTGCGATCGGACTTTGATCGTGCAAGATGTCGGGATTCGACGCAAGTATGCCGGACGAGTTTTCGTGGAAGGCTTTTGCTTTGCCCATTCCATGTAGATAACATTACAAAACCCACGTACAGAACTCCCGCTTCAGTATGGGATTTTCGTGGCGCTCAGACGTTTGATGGTCCAAGCGCACAATTCCATGTTTTCAGATTCCCTGCAAAACCGACTCATAGGAATCCCCCGAATAAACGGACCAAACCGGACATTTGTCCGTCTATCCGATCGGACGTGTCGAACTGCTTCTATCAAGGAGTTTCCAATGAATGGTCTCCAAGAGAGCAATTTCAACACCTAGACACAGGAGAACTATTGTCGTGAAAGTGTTGTACAGTCGATTACGAATTTAGACTGCAGAGAGTTTGTTCTGAGCGCTAAAGGCACTCACGATAGAGCACATTTTGCTTTATTCTAACATGTGGTATCAGTATTGGGATCGTGGTCTTTCCTGACCTTCTTGACCTCAAGGACTCGTGTGGTGATTCCCTGGCCTCGTACCATCTTCTGATTGAAGCGATGATACATTGAACTCAGAACGAATTTGCCACCCAGGTTCTCATCAACTTCCCAAAGAGAGGCATAGATGCCCTGTCCTTGCACAAAATCGTTCTTGTGAGAAATCATGTCAGTGCCTGAGACAACAGTGCCAGAATCAACAGTGAGATCGAGACAAGAGTGAGATCTGGACACATAAATCCAGGCTTTTGTTCTTACCTTTCTGGCCGTGAAAGTAATCAGACATCTTCTTCTCAAACTGTGGCTTGTTTGAGCAGTTCTGGAGGTAAACGGTAGCAAGGCACTGGATTGCCGTTTTGGAAATGAGGAAGAAGACCATGGCTTATTGTCGGGCAGCAGAGGAGTGTGATGATTATAGATTCACTTTCATCAGAACAAACGATAGATCCAGCAAGCCAAAGACCCTGAAAGCAGCCAAACATGTAGAATCCTACAGTGAACAGGATGAAAACACTATGGCGCGAACGTTTTGTTGATGATAGGCTGGTGATGTGATGATGACGAACAAATATTCACATGTGAAATTTGATTGATCCGATTGCTATGATTGCTTTGGTCAGCCGTGAGGAGGTATTTCTTGGACAGCAAAACGAAACAGCAAAAGTGTGCGAAAAACGCGCACAAATCGAGTTTCGCGTTCGCGATTTTTGACCGTGTGGACCGGCCTGATGGAGAAAAAAACTTTCTATTTCTCCATTCGGAAGTTGGAGCCAAAAGGTTCATCAGGGGAAAGAAAACATTGGGGGACCAATTTTAGGAGCTCATATTCGAAAGCAACTTTTGGAGAGGTGGTTGCCAATATTTTTGCAGGATACAAACAAGCCTGCTTGCGATCAAATACAAGACTTTGGTGCTATACTGTAGGAGCAGGGCGCCCCGACAACTACTTTCGCACAGCCACAAACAAAACTGTTTAGCGATGGAAGCTACAACAATCAACTAATAGTTACCTTCTTGCAGGTGCTACTGATTCGTGATGGAATATGAAGGCAGTGTGCAAGCCCAAGGTGGAAGAAGACTTTTTCCGAAACCTCAATTCTCATTATGATTGTTGAAGAACAAGAGATAGATTACGTTTGGGGAAGACTTGGGGGTGTCGTTTCTCCACCGGAAGCTGTTTTCTCCACCATGGAGGGAAAAAAAATCTATTTCTCCACCTTGGAAAAAAATAATTCTATTTCTCCACCGGAAGCTAATATGGCAACAAAGGTTTCACACTGGCGATCATTCATCCGTTGACGATCGCTGGGTATACTGGCGGGCGTGTTTTCGTGAGGTCTATTTTGGCAAATAGCATAGCAAGAATTTAACGGCTGGACGAGCATTCCAAGCGGGAATCGACTAGAGATCCCGCTCACAGAAGTAGCCCCGTCCGTCCGGATATCACAAATATCTGAAAATTACCCCGTCTTGCAGTGCAGTCCAGCACCTCCGATCGACAACGCACCCACTCTCTAACCATCCACTTGCGGTCAACCCATCCCATTTGTCGGTCGCATGTCGCACGTAAACGAGCGAAGGGTCTCCCTGAGACTGCTAGGATTGAAAGTGTGGTATGGAGGTGATTCACCTCTGCCGCAATAAGCTAAGACGTTTGACATCTTATTGTGATCATTACACTGTAGTATTTTGATGATTGAAAGGTTCTACTTTTGCCGCAAAAAAGTTAGGGGTGAGTTCTTGTAGGGTTTCTGCAGTTTGCGCCCTTCACTCTTGGTCCTTCGCTCGTTTATATGTGCGACAGACACAGCGAGCCATAGACGATGGTCAATGGCTACAGTAGAGCATGACTCTTGGTGGTACTGTAGTGTACAGTCGTAGTCAGATGGACAGACGAGGAGAGACAGACGGCAGACAGACGAAGACGACTCAAAACTACTACTGTACCTGGTACACGTGTAATAGAGACGAAATCTCGTTGAGTTTTGGCATGCGTTGAGCGTTGAGCGTGCTCGTCACTCAAATTCAAACTGGACTTCCGATGAACGGAAACGTCTTCGCTTTTATCGTACCGGTACCATACTTTCGAAGTGTGAAGCATTACCTGTGGAATCTAGAGATGCCTACACGAACTCGGAGAGCAGGGACAGGGAAGCAGCAACGCTCCGGAGTTGTACCAGACAAAGAAGTTCACGGGGCAGCGGCAGCAGGAGGTATCTTGGCGTCATTTAATGTGAATATACCAGTTGTCAAGAATCGTCTACAAGAAAAAGAAAATGACAAAGTGCCATCTTCTGTGATGATTTCTAGTGCGCAGCGAGCGCTCTCTCATTCTGCAAGTGAGAAACTAGATGGACATAACAAAAAGAAAATCGCCCGCTCTTTTGAACAGGATGTCGATGACGACTTCAGCGCCATCAGCTGTGATGTTTCTCCGCGAAGACTAGACATATCAAGAATCCAAGACGCTGTCTCCAGTTTTTCTGGTGATTTGACTATGAGTAACGACTCTATATCACAGGATTTGACGCTTTCTCTGCAGCCGTCGGAGGACGAAACAACCGAAGACCCCTCGTCTTCCCCGCGCAGTTATGTAGCAGACCTTGATACAGTTGACAGTGATCAAGAGTCTAGTTTCACTGTAAGCGAGGCAAATTCGGAATCCCAGTGTGAAACCTCGGAGAGTTTAGTGGAGGAATCATATGATCCAGGACTCGAAGACGACGAGTACAATCCCAACGAGGAAATCGAAAGCGAATCAGACGAAGATCTGGAATTCATGGAGGGCGAAATCGGCGATTCCCCAGAGTTCACACCGACGCAAACGAGAGTACAACATGGTGAAATAGGTTTAGGATCTGTCGCCGGGGATACAGGCAAGGAAGTTTCATCACGAACGACAGAATCTGACGATGATAGCACTGTCGTTGAACGTACACCAAAGCCGAAATCGAGAAGTCTCCCTCTTTCGATGATTTCGCCGGAGATTCAATTGGCAGAGATTGTCGACGACGACGAAATAACGGACAATGACATCCTTGTGGCTACCATCATCGACGGAGACCAAGCACTATCTTCAGAAAAACACCCAAGAAACATTGGAATCCTCAGATTGCAAAAACAGAATGATGGCATCCCTTTTAACCAAACTGCCAGTGATGACTTTCAAAATGATGGCCACGAGGCACAAAAGTCCTTACTGGTCAAGAAGGACAATACAATGGATAACCAAGGGAGGAATGAAAATGTCACAGACTCGCTTGAATATTACGAAGCATGGGATGCAAATGAATCAATACCATCCAACAAGCCTCTACCCTACCATACACCAATCCAAAAGAAACCGAAGAGCAGCAAGAAGACCTTCTGGCTAGAAGGCAGGGTGAAACGAGGTAAATGGACTCTTGGTGCCAAGATTGGAGTTGGCTCCTTTGGTGTAGTTCACGTTGGCATGAACACACTCACTGGATCCTTGATGGCAGTGAAGATATTCAAGGTCGATGGTGAAGCTGTAATGAAGGATGTCCGCCGGGAGGTTGAGTTGATGAGATTGCTAAAACATCAGAACATTGTTCAGTATCTTGGAGCTCAAATGGACAAAACGCATTTGCATATCTTTCAAGAATGGGTTCCGGGCGGCAGTGTTGCGTCTATGCTTAGTCGCTTTGGTGCGTTTCCGCTGCAAGTCATCCAACGATACCTCTCACAAACGCTTTTAGGCCTCCACTACTTGCATGAGAACAACATCATACACCGAGACATCAAAGGTTCCAATATTCTGGTCAATGATGGGGGGGTAGTAAAGCTCGCAGACTTTGGTGCAAGCAAGAAACTGTCAAATTTGCGAGGGGATATGATGATGAGTCTAACCGTTCGTGGAACTCCATATTTCATGGCGCCAGAGGTTTTTGAAGAAAGATATAGTTCGAAAGCTGATATTTGGGGGATTGGATGTGTTGCCTTCCAAATGATTACCGCAAGTCCACCATGGAAAGATCAAGGGTTTACAAATCCTATTTCACTATTCAACCATATCAAACGAACCTCTGGCCCACCACCGTTACCACACTCAACTGCAGCAAACTTTCCGAAAGAAGATCTGAATCTGATGAATGCATTTGACATGCTCATGACGACATGCTTTGAAACAGAACCGTCCACGAGACCCTCAGCACAGGAGTTGTTAGGTCACAATTTCTTTGATGAAATCGCTTCTGACATGGGAGATGATGATTCTCTACATCAAAGACTTTTCTCCCCAGAAAGTCAAATTCAATCGCCATGGAGTATAAAATGCAAACAGGCAGGTGATTTTGTCATTCCTTTCTATCCACAATGCAAATCTGAGCTATACAGCGATCCAAACCATCTTGTTGGTGGTTCAGAAATTTGTTCTCCTCAACGCGACACTTCTGATTGGCCAGAATGGGCAAAGGATCAACTTGGAAAGAAGGAACAGACCACCCCTTCAAAGGAGAATGGGCTTTCAAACATGATGGGAAGCCTTGCATTGAGCGAAGATAGCATACAGCAAAATCCGTTTGCAAGAAATTTAGTGCTTGCAGGAGGAAGCACTGTGTTTTCCAACTTGTTGGGCCTTCAATTGATTGATAGGAAGGACGCTGAAGACTAGCCTTGACGCTTTAAAATACCACCTAACACAACATTTCTACTTAGTCATTTGTACCAGGGAAAGATTAGCTCAGGTGATAAAAATCAAAAATCAAAAACTAAAAGGTAGAAAATATTTTTCCTCACTCTTCTCCAAAACAAAACTGTACCAGTCCTACGCGTTTCGTATGTACATGAAAACAGTTGTTGTCGTTGAAACAGGAATTAAATTTAAGCGAACATGAAGGATAGCATCATCAACCCGCCGGAGAAGGACCCGAATTCGATCATGACTGTAGCTGACCAAGGTCAGGGAGGTCTCGAGGAAAAAACCCGATCAAATTCGACCACTCAGTTGTCGATTGCTCTGACAAAGGACAATCCTGCCATCACGACTCCCAAGCACATCAGCAAGCAAAACCCTTCAAAAACCGCCGAGGATGGCGCAATGAAAGGTCGCTCGCTCTTCCCATCTGAAGTTGCCCAAGGTCAGGTTGGCCTCACGGCCAAAGCTCGATCGAACACCAGTCCCTTGTTGATCGATCTCACCAAGGATAATCCTGATCCCACGATTACCAAGAGTCAACGCAAGCAACCCCCCCTTCCAAAACCGCCGAGGATGGCGCAGTGCAAGGACGGCCGCTCGTTGCCTACAACAAGAACCTCAAGGTGTCCAAGTT